TCCAGTGATGTGACAGTGGTCTCTAATTCTAATATCTTTCTGTGTGTACTGTTTTGCGACAAATGTGGTATTCTTTTGCCTGTCTGAAATGGATTTCATCCTCTTCAGAAATTTTTGATGGTTTTTTTAAATGCTCCTCGGCTGTCTTCAAGCAATCTTTAACTTCTTCAATCATCTTTTCCATAAATTTATAAACTTCATTTTCTCCTCTGTATATCTGTACGGGTTTGCTAAATTTGTCATCATAACAACAAACAACTTAAAAACCATATCCACAATCTACGTGTTTCTGATATAATTCTGTGTATGATTGATTCTGTTCTGGTGTGCATGTTTGAATGTTGCTAATCTCGAGTAGGCGGAATAACGCTACTTAATTCAAAATGAGGTCTACTGAAGCGACCACTCCGTAAAAATAGGAAGATGACGTTTGGACTACATTTGCAACGCCGTTGTCACCACTTTCAAATTTTTGTGACAACTTGTGCGACTCCTCACTTTTTTGCTGGCCACTAAAGCATAAGCCTTTTAAAATTGCTTTTCCGTGGGTGCTTTGATCGTCTGCAACGTAAACGTCATGAATATAACTTTCTGTGAAAACTTATATCCCTTAGACCCGACGTCGTTTTTCCGCAGCCCTCCAGATGCTTTTGAATTTTTCGGTAGTAAACTTCGGAGGAAAACTCAAACTTTTCGTCGAAACTAAGCGACTTTCTTCACAGGAGATTCTATCGCCATTTTGGATGCCTTATTTGTAAAATTGTTTATCCAACAGACCACGTGAACAGAACACGTTACCTCAGTGTGAGGAACGTCCATGACAATATAGGTTTTGGTAAAAATTGAAATCTGTATTAGACCCGTCTTTTTTTTCCGCAGCCTTCCAGGTACTTTTGAATTTTTCGGTTGTAAACTTCGGAAGGGAACTTAAATTTTTCGTTGAGAATAAGTTTTAATAACTGGAGATATCATCGCCATCATCAGCGGTTTTTAAATGGAACAGGCCATGAATCCCCTCCATTGTCACAAGTGCATGGATACTCCCACTCGACTGAAGCTGAGAGCTAAGAAGCACATCATTGAAAAACATATCCATCAAACAAACGTTGTTAACACTTCCTTATATTCTCCAGGCGTTTCTGTACGGATGGTCTATGAAACTTTCACAGCCAAGCATCGGGCAGGTATTCTGAGAAGAGAACTTGCCTATCAGAACAGATTGATTTACTATTGCCCCTTTGACCATGTAATAGGCACTTTTCCAAAACTTGTACATTCACGGAGAATCGTTGAGCATCATGAAACCTGTTATGTGAAAGTCGTTTGCGCCACCTCAGAATGCTCTAGTTGTGGTCGTCGTGTTCCCACTGAGATAATAACAATGTTTCCGGATGAAGGCCCCAACTAAAGATCTCTCATTGAGAACGAGGCTTATGGAGCTTTGAAGGCGTACTCCTCACGCTGTTTGATGTGGTGTGATCATTAACTTTACTGATAGCTTATCAAAAATATATATTTCTATCTCTTCTATGTTCCCAATAAAGCTTTCCTAGCTGTTGCAATTGAACATTAATATTTTGATTACTTTTATTTGTTTATATTTTATCTTGTTTGCATGTATTGCATGCCATTAAAAGTAAGGTTACGATCGTGTAATTTTTACCCCACCTGGTTGAGTTGTGAAATAAAGTCTTATCATTGTGGTGAAGCGTTTTACACGATACTAGCAATGTTGGAAAGTAGACATTCTTGAAATAAAGAACCAAATCATGTTCTGCAAATCCACCAGTCTTGTTACGCGAGCCCATGCTATGAAGGAGGGGTTGGGGAGAAAAGTACTTTTGAAAATGGATAACTGAGAACAATCATACTTAAACTTTCGGGAACAAAAAGTAGGATAAATTTCTAACTGAAGACTAAAAGTCTAAAACTCAAAGATTTATTTCAGGTGACTGTAATAAATAAAAGCCATAGTTGTTGTTTTGGGAATGATCTTCTACATTTCATTATTTTTAAAATTGTGTATAATATATAATTATTATCATGTCTACACTCGTGTGAGTGGTTTGATGGCTCGTAAGAGATCACTTAGGGTTTTCTCTGCAGGCAATGGTTGAATGTTATATTTTTGATGTAGTTTGATTGTTTGTGTGTGATTTTTTTGTAGCAACCTGCTGCACAAGACTTGAGCGGGACGATGTTGCATAAGGAAATAAAATAATATGGTAAGGTTTAGCTTTGCCAGTGTATGGGGCCATTGGATTAGCAAAGAGTAATGGAGTCTTGTTTCATTTTCAAGAATCAGGTAATGCTTGGCGTTTTAATTTTTCTTTTATGTCTAAAAAGTATATCTGATTGGATTGCCAAAAACATGCCCGATATGTTGCAAGATTGACAGTCAGGTTCATGCGTTGATAGAGCTTATTTAGTGGGCGAATACCCTGTGTCTGGAGGGTGGTTGAAAGTCCAAAGTAGTAGGCTTAGGAAGGGCTGCAAAATTTTGATGGCTGGTGTTAGGAGCATACCCCGCCATCAAGCAAGGCTTGCCGGTAAAAATGCAGAGGGCTTAACTTCAAGCTTAGCGCCTCGCATGCAGCCAGCCACTAACCTATCCAAGGGTGGGTTGCAAATGGCTCTGTAAGGAGAGCTCTAGGGGTGGGTATGTTATTGGACCCCTTGTCCAACTGGCAGTTTTCTATGAGGCTGGAAGGGGCTTGTCTTATTCATCTTATTTGACTGCCTGCAATTCAGGATTGGTGGTTATGCTTGTACTCTTTTCACACCACAGACACTGGGCTAACACTTCATGACTGGAGGGTGGTTGAGTGTCATAAGCATACCTTTGGGGAGAAGGCTCTATCGACATTGCAAGAACCTGATGTCCAGGTTTTCGCTTGATGTCTTGATTTTCGTTTTCGCTTTCTCGTTTTCACTACCCTTTCAATGAAAAGTCTTTTATTAATGCATTACAAAAAGCGGATAATTCTATTACTGTAAACAGAATAATTGCTATTGTAGCAAATTGATAAAAATAACCTTTTAAGATTGGTCTGATGAAGGTAGAAATCCTCTTAACAAAGCGTAAAGCACACCAAAATCAAAATTTCAAAGTACTGGTAACTAAACCCGTCGCTGAAAGCGAGCGGAACCTGGGACTAGCTCTTGCCACAAAGCGCCATTTTTGTAACTATGCAATAAACATTTCAATAAGATGCAGAAGCGCGCATAAGTATGAGCCACCCCGGCTAACCAAAGGATTTAGGGCTAGTGGGCATTTTACAGAAGAATTAAGTCTGTTTGGTGGATTAACTTCATCAAGTGCCCTATGGAACAGGAAATCTTTAACCCAGGAGATGAGATTCAAATGGCATGCCTCTGTTTCTCTTTCTCTCAGTTACTTCAAGATGACCTGGATAATGACATAAGCCATGACACTATTAGTGGAAGACCGGATGAACTATTCTTTCTCCCAGAGCTTCATGGAAAGTAGATAGTCTACTTCACTCAATCCTGGATAATGAGATTTAATCCATGAGGGAGAACCTGACCCACGAAGAGGAGAAAAGTATCTACCAAGAGTACTTTGAATATGTAATTGAAAACACTGAATTGCAGCTGCCCCACAATTGAGGAGGGACTCTTTCTGTTTAAAAGAACTCCTTGAAATTGCTAACGTATGATGTTTGACGAACAAGAACGAGCTGTGCGATATCGGTGGGGGTAGGTTCGTACATTAAGTGTTCCCTTTGATATAGGCCAATTACACCTATGACCATATAGCCATGACTGATTTATGCTTTTTATTTTCAATTTCACTACTGTGCAAGTAAAACTAAAGAAAAAGGTTGGCATCAAACTCAACTTTAAAAATCTTTTAATATAATTATCCATCACAAGTGGTTACCAGTACATCTCACCAAGCAGTTATCTTTTGACAGCAAGTGTTATTTCCTCGAAGTGCTCATAGGAACAAGAATGTGATCAGTAGATTTCAACTGGACGATATCTAGATTCAAGTAAATGAACAACTTGGAAATTTGCTTTCTTTCTTTGATTATACTGAAGCAATGATATCTACTAATGACATCAGAACCAAAACAATACCAACACGTACAGGGGCTTACTACTTAGTAATACATTACTTCATAACTTCTGACAAAAAATCTGCTATCTCTTCCCCAACAGTAGCAGTCAATTTTTTATAGTCCTCCCTTTCTTTAGCAAATAGAGAAGAATTCTATTTCTGTTGTAAAACATGTTGGAAGCTGCTAGAGCATGAAGAAAGTGGTAGAGTTCTCAAGCCACTTCTTAAGTGCTTTACAACAGAACAGAGCACTGTCGAGGCTTCTCTATTTGTTTTATAATAAAGAATCTGTTAAATAATGCATTACTCTCAATTTTCAAAAGAAACTTAAGGCAATAAATTATGACTGGTCTTAATGGGGGCATAGTTTTTTTACATTTTTGATACTAAATTTGTCTTTCCTCTAATTTTGCCCACTCCTGTCTGTTCTAAATGCCTTTTTTGAGTCAGTTTTTGTTTTGTTTTAGAGGAGATCACATTAAGCCATCCTAGATAAAATGCAGCTGGTCAAAATGCTTTCCTAGTCTTAATACAGTAAAGATATTGTGGCACTTTATATGGCACTTTTTATAAACAAGGATGTCCTCTGAGATTTTCTTAAGCTCATGGCTCAGCCTTTTGTGACTTTGATATGAGAGTAACTCTTAAATGTAGTGCACATTTTGATTGAGTATTTAAAGTAATCACAAAAAACAATCACAATGACTAAATAATAACTCTAAATCAAGACACAAACAAAGCCTACTTTTCAAAGAGCAGGAAGACTTGAGTGATTAATCTTCTGCACCCTAACATCACAATGTACATTCTCCATAATATTCTATTTATACAAGAATAATTTGTTCAGCAATCAAGAGCTTCTTCAGTTGGTGATTATTTCCTTTATTCTCATAACCTTCCTGTTTGATTCAGGGTTAATAATGTAGGGAGAAATCATATGCTAGTCAGCTCTCAGTGGTTGAAGGGTTAAGTCATGATTGGGTTAAGTATAGCATCTGACTGGGTGAGAGATTGATGTGAGTTTGTTGGACCACTCATACAGCAAAGTGAAGCGATACCAATGCACTGGATACTAAGTTGAAAATTTCCTTATCTTGCAGGACACCTTAAGTTACAATTCAAAAGCGTGGTCTTCCAGATCTTCAGTTCCTCCCAAAAATGGAGTCACAGGATTGGATCACTTGGAGACTGTGTTACCAACCTACTGGAGCACATCCTTTGCAGTTCCCCTTATTCCAGAATCGGATATGGCAGAGGAGGATCAGGATATGAAAATGCATGAGGAAAAAGAGCTTTGTAGAGGGTAGACAATGAAGACAAAAATATCAAGGTATTTGGATACATTTTCCTTTATTTATGACACTGAACTGCTCTGCTCCAAGAAAAAGCTGCATGCAACATGGAGTAATGATCATGCTCTAATTTCAGGTGGAATTTTAAACCTTTAACTCCCAGGATCCAATTGTCAATTCTCCCCTCTGGCTGCTACACATTTTTTTGTAAGCTAGTTATAAGGATTTGATGGTAGATCAAGATAACAACTTCTACCTGATAAGTTTGGGTATTCTCATTACCTGTTTACTGGATAATGACTGGATATTATAGGGAGAAGTTACTTGTTAATCACTTGTGGGAGTTATAGGGTTAAATATGGGTTTTTGCTTTTGCTGTTAAATGAAGGGAAAATGAAAGTGGGTCAGTGAATTAAGACAGGTTTCTCTTTGTATTGTAGTTACACAAAGGAAAATCTGCCTTTCTTGGGAAATTTATCACTTTTACTCTCACAAGTGGCCATTAAGTTACTTCTCCTTTAACCCTTTAAGTCCCAGAAGTGATGAACATGTAACTTCTCCCTATAATATCCATAAATTGTCCCACAATTAGGTAATGAGAATACTCAAACTTATCTGATAGAAGTTGTTATCTTGATCTAGCATCAAATCCTCATAACTAACTTAAAAAGAAATGTGTGGCAGCTAGAGTGAAGAATTGATGATTAGATCTTGAGAGTTAATGGGTTAACATTTCATCCACAGACTGTATGGTAGTTGACAATCTTGAATTAAATCAAGTTTTTAAGTGAGGGCTAGACACAAACTCTTAAATTACAGGAAATAAATAGCAGACCATGATAATAAGTGACCAGTTAAAATTTTATTGCCAAGAGAGGGGGGCTGAGATGATTTTTGGGGGGATCACATGGTTTTCAGGTGAACAGTGAGGGAATCTGTCATTCACAAACAGACTATAGAGGCATTGTAGAAAATTGAGTGTTTTTTCTTTTGTATTTTTCCAGTTCACCCCCATTCCCTTCTTTAGAACCTCACCACACAAGCCACATTTACACACCTCCAAGGGCTTCTTTATTTCAACAGTTACAAACATTACTTAAGACATCATTTTCATAAAAAGTTCTCAATCTAATCCAGTGCAGCAGCTCCTGAGATGATCTCAATCAATTCCCTTGTAATCACAGCTTGGCGAGTTTGATTGTATGTCAGAGTCAGTATGTCAATCATTTCACCTTTAATTTCAGATCTTGCACCAAGATCTCATTAGTAATTCTCCTTACTGTCTACCATACAGTTCTTGTGATGTTAGTTTTGAGAATTTAGTATTGGATCAACTACTAATCCTCTAACTGATATATTTCTTTATTTTTGTCACTTATTTGCTTGATATTGTATTGATATCACAAGGAGAAATTCTGTCTTGGTCACTTATGGGACTTAAACCCTTGCGAAATGGCTTTTGGAATTCCTAGGAATTCCTAGGATTTTCCTAGGAATTTCAAGGAATTTTTTCCTAGGAATTCCTAGGAATAAAGGTGTGAATTTTCACGGTAAATTTGGACTGGGAATTCCTAGGAATTCCTAGGAATTCCCAACCATAGCAACTCTGGTTCTAAAAACCTAGAAATTCCTAGAAATTCCCAGAAATTCCCAGAAATTCCAAGTTTATAGCCAACAGGACTTGGAATTCCTAGGAATTTCTAGGAATTCCTAGGAATTCCAACTCAGAGAACCAATGACTTTCCCTGAAAAGCTGTAAATCTAAAAAATTCCTAGGAATTTCTGGGAGTTTTTAGGAATATTTAAGAATTACTGGGAATTTTAAGCAAAACTTTGAGGCTAATGATATAAAATAAATACTTTAAATTAAAAAACCCAGCTAAAATTCAAGTATTCAATGAAATTTATTTAGAAGCTCTAAAGGCTTACATGTAAAATATTTTTGATTCATTATTAACATCAATGTGTGGTAATATTAGGATGGAATTTGATTTTTCTTTTCTTGAAAACTTCATGAGGATTAATCCTCAATTACAGCTATTCATATAAAATAGTCCTAATCAATCATTAAATTTGGTTTGACACAAATTGTGAATAAAATCTGTTGATTCTTTTCCATAAAATACAATATCTTAAATTATATTTGAAAACCAAGCACTCTTAGGAGTGAAGGGGTTAATTACAGACAAATAAAATTGATTTTTTGATTAAAATCTTGTTGTAACTGTAACAATAAATTAGAATGAAGTTATCCTAAACTGCAAACTCACGAGGAGTTGGCCTTGAATGAGGTTGTCTACAAGAAGCTTGACCATTTTGTATCTGGGTTCCATGACATCTGAATTTGAAAAAATATATATATTTAAATATATATATTTAAAGCTCAGACCAGGCCTTCAAGATGGCTACGAGGAGAAGGGCATTCATTAGATTCTCAAATTGAGAAATCTCTGTTATATTGAGTGACTTTTAGATTGGAGTTAGTACATCTCTCTCATAGATTTTACTAAAAAAAGGCTGAATACATTATTTTGTTTTTACCAAGGAGGGCTTCTTTATGTAATAAGGTTTGTTTAATAACAGTTCCTATTATGAATCTTGAATGTTCCCAAACGTGACTAAAGAAATCTTGAAACCTTACTGATAGGTTTATTTCACTGTAAAGCATAAGCTTAAGAAACTACGGCATGCAAGTGACCGATTCGATTCTCAGAATTATTTTAGTTTCAGTTGCGCCGAGCGTTATGTAAGCTTAATTCAACCCGCTATATCTATTCTTTTATAAGATTTTGATCACGTAACGAATATCGCAATTTTTACTCACCACAAACTTTCAAAATCGTAGCTTTACAGATGGCCACTCGACCCTTGTTTGAACCAGTCAATATGTAAGCTGTTGTCCCTTCTTTTAACTCCACGGCGCCAACGACTTTCATTTCTTTTACAACACTCACGCTGTTCTCGTTTTCCCATTGAACCACAATAAAAGCTATCTTTAGAAATGTTATATTAAGCAAAACAGTTGAGAAAAACGATCAACCGATGAAAAGTACATTCAAAGATGAGCGCCAAATTGAGTCTTCTTTGTTTCCGATCACGGGCATGATCACGTGGATCTTCTAGGACTTGTCATTGGCTAGCAAAGTGAATCCGCTGGCTTGCTGATTGCAGTGTTAAGAGAAGCGCACAACTTTATTTTGACTTCTCCGACCGGTTCTCTGCTTCCAGACGATGGATACCTTGGGGATATAAATAATGATGTGAGCTCACTCTATGTAGAAATAATCGACAAGAATCGATCGTATTACAAATGCACGATTTGTGGCCGAAAGTTGTCGAGGAAACAAAGACTCGAAACTCACTTGAGTTGTGTTCATGGCAAAGGTGAAATACAAGCTAATCACAGTTTTGAATGCGACTACAAATCGTCTTTTACCCTCATATTTATAAAAGAAGGATACCACATTAGGAAGTATAAGAGATACATAGATAATCCCAGTGTACCAGTACCCAAATCTACAGAGCTTGACCGTAGCAAGCGTTCAGCAACATGTTCCAACACCGCCATCTCGATTCCTCAGTCAGTCGTTTCCACTGAACTTAAAGCAGTAGTGACAACAGAGTAGAGTGCGTCTTACAAAGGAGAAACATATAAAGGGGTAAGTTTCTAAAGAAACTGTGGTGCTGCGTCGGTGGGAGAGTATAGCAGGTAATTTAGTGTTAACAACTGGGTTGAAAACGTAAATTAGCCACCGTAAAGAGTAAAAAAGCTGACGTTTCGAGCGTTAGCCCTTCGTCAGAGCGATCATCGAAAACGTCAGCTTTTTTACTCTTTACGGTGGCTAATTTACGTTTACAAAGGAGAAACATTTGTACAAGAGGCAGAAGTAACTATATGCGATTACAGAGGTGCGTTGGAACTCTGGTCCACAAATAGTTATGCACTGTCCGAAGTATAAAACAATTTTGTTGATAGCTGACAGACAGAGAAGAACAACAAGAAAACTTTAGAGCTGTTATTATTGAAGTGTGACTTGCAATTTTCATTTTTATATAAAGAAGGACTTGTATTTTGCACCAAAAATAAAAAGATGTCATATTTTTTGGGAGATCCAGTGATTGGGACATTTAAGAAATTAAGTTACGAAAGGAAACTTGGTTGGTACTTCTCACTACTAACAAGTCTTGTTGACTAGGAATTCCCAGAAAACTGGGAATTCAGTTCGCAAGGGAAGGGTTAAGAGAGATGGAAAGAGTAAACTTTAATGAGGGTAAAATTCTTTTGTACACCATTTTGGGGTTGAAATACTCATTCTCTGACCAAATCACATGAACAAGGGTTGATAATGTAGGGAGAAATTAGATGCTAGTCAGCTCTTAGTGGTTTAAGGGTTAAATCATGATTGGGTTAAGTATAGCATCTGACCAGGTGAGAGATTAGTGCAAGTTTGCTGAACCACTCATAGAACAAAGTGAAGTAATACCAATGTAATGGAAACTAAGTTGAAAATTTCCTTATCTTGCAGGAAACCTTCAGTTACCTTCAGGTCTTCAGTCTCTCAAAAATGGAGTCACCAGATTGGATCACTTGGAGACCCTGTTTCCAACCTACTGAAGCACTTCCTTCACCAAGATATGCCATGGCATGAAGGTTGATGGGTAACCAGGTTCTTGCAATTGGGTCAGGAAGCAGCCCCACTGTATCCTCTCATTGCTGATGGTTAATACCATGCTACCTCGCTAGATTGGGAAGCATGGAATCGGCTGATTGTCCTGATGCCTTTCTGCAGTGATGATGTAATCATGAAGGGTTCAATTCACATGTAGCAGGTAATGGATTCAGCAGGGTACAAATAAGTGTCATTGGCAATGAACAAGATGATTGCAATTCCCCAGATTCCAGAATCGGATCTGGTGAAGGAGGATCAGGATACGAAAATGTGTGTGGATACAGAGCTTTGTGGAGTGCAGACAACAGAGACAAAAATATCAAGAAATTTGGTTACATCTTCATTCAATAAAGACACTGAACCACTCTACTCAAGGAAAAAGCTGCATGCAACATAAAGCAATGATCATGCTTTAATTTCAGTATTGGAATTTTGAAATGTGAATTTTGGCTTTAGCTATTAAAATGAAAGGAAAATAAAAGTGTGTTAATGAATCCAAATCACCTTTCTCTTTGTAATGTAGTCACTCAAAGGAAAATCTGTTTTTCTTGGGAGATTTGTCACTTTTACCATCAAAAGTGACCATTATGTTACTCCTCCTTTTACATTTTGTTTAGAGATTTTCTGATAGATGACAATTTTCAATAACATCAAGTGTCTAACCCTTTAAATCCCATGAGTGACCAAGACAGAATTTCTCCTTACAATATCAAGTAGACAAGTGATGAGAGTGAAGAAAAACATCAATTAAGGGATTATAACTTGATCTAATACCAAATTCTCCAAACTAACATAATAAGAACTGTATGGCAGACAGTAAAGAGAATCACTTATGAGATCTTGGGTGTTAAAGGGTTAAGTTAGGGCCAGACACAAACACTTAAATGATATGCAACCAGTTATCATTTTATCATCAAGGGAGGGGGGTTGGAGGCTCTTTTGGGGATCACATAGTTTTCAGGTGAACGGTTAGGGGTTTTGTCAGTCACAAACAGACTTTAAAAAGGCACTGTAGAAAATGGTGTTTTTTTTCCCATTCACCCCTATTCCCCTCTTAACCCTTTCATTCCCATGAGTGACCAAGACAATTTCTCCTTACAGTATCAATACAATATCAAGCAAATAAGTGATGAAAATAAAGAAAAATATCAATTTGGGGATAATTAGTTGATCCAACACTCAATTCTCTGAACCAACATTATAACAGTTGTATGATTGACAGTAAGGAGAATTAAGAATTTAGTTTGGGAGTTAAAGGGTTAAGAACCTTGCCACACAGGCTACATTTACCTGATCAGGGTTAATCATTCAAATTCAGTTGGTAGAGTGTAGGAAAAATTTATGAGACCTGTTATTCCATTTAATTAAGCTTAGTTGTCCTGCAGCTGTAACCTCGCATTCCATTTGAATTAACTTGGTTGTTGTGCAGCTATACAAGGAACTTGTTCTGCTTCCCCCCCCCTCCCCCACCTAACCTATTAAGCATAATTTTGTCTCCAAAGTTCCTCTGTTGTTAGAGGATCTATAAACCAATCAGGATCTGTCTTTTGTGAAGATATTTTGATGACTGTAGGGGGTACTAGAAAGGCATCATTTTATGTGTTCACAAGAAATGATCAAATGTGAAATCAAAGAAAACTGTGAATAAATCGTGGGTACATTACATTTGAATGAATTTGGAAGATAAAAAAACATACACTTTTAAACATGTAAACATGGGCAGCCAGCGGGTAACCCTCGGATAGAGTTGAAACTACTCAGAATTACCTTGAACTACTGGGGAGATGTTGGATGGACAGTTAGAATTCACATTTTGGCTATTGTTTGACCTACACCATTCCTTAAACTTCACTTTTTGCCATTAAATCATATACTATAGCAGATTTCTGACATAAAATTTGTATGAATGTGCTTCAGTTGTGAATGAATAACTTGCTCCATTCTTGTATAACATGTGTATTAGCCCATGTACCCTGGTGTGACATGTTGGCTAAATACCTTGACCATGAATGGTCTGTACTACTTTTGATGAATCTTTCTGGATTGTTTGTGATATATTGAACACCAGTGCTACGAACATTCATGTGATAGTTAGGTTTACCATACAACTGATGAAACACAACTCTTAAGAAATAATCACTTCCACCACGAACATCTGATATTCTCTAGCCATGTTGAGTCAATCGAGATTGTAAAATTACACTTGTTTGTTTATTGTTTTTCAATGCCGAAGGAATTTCAACTTTATAGCGTGTTTCGAAGAGATAATTTTGAAAAATCGGATCGAAAGAGCATTTTAAGAAAAGATGGTTTAAATTCCAATGAAAAAGAAGGTACGACAAATGTAATTTCGCTTTCTTTAGACTTGATAAATGTGATAGCCATAACTTCTATGTCGGTGTTTCGAAACCTTGATTGTTTGTAGCTATACAACTCTACCGAAACTTCAAACTGTATTGTTTTTATTTTTTTCCAAATTCTGTGCTTCCAAATCGAGGGTGCGGCTTATCTACGGATGCAGCTTATACATGGACGTTTAAGGTAATTAAGATGGTTTGGATTATTTCCTTGAGTAACAGGTCCCGGGTTTAACTCGATATCTCCTGAAGTAAGTAACTTTGCCCTTGAAACAAAACACTTGTGATTTCGTTTCTTATACTTTATTGAATAACATTGAACAACAAGTACAAATTCATTATGAAAAACTGCTTTGCAGTTCTTGTTTTGAAAATATAAACATGACCAATAGCAAAATACAACCTTAAACCTTATGCACGAGTGATTCCAACTGGTTTACCTCTAAACATTCTGGTTTTAAGATAGTTATGGTAATCAAGCGATAAAATCGTTTTCAACACTGACGAATGTGGTAAACTTTGCACAATATGAGACCTTGCGTACCTCTTAATTGCTTCACTCTAGTTCAGTAAGTTCAGAATTTTCTTCCACTGTAATCTTGATGGTTCACTATCACGACGGACGCCTTTGCTGATACGATTGGACTTTGACCTACTTCTTCGATCCTGTATGATTTTTGTGACCATCAGATCAGTCTTCTGACTGCGTTTCGTTCGGCTTCGCCACAAGAGTGTTTTGGTTGGATATTATGGACTGATCAGTTATGCTACTCATGTTTCTAATGTCTCTGTTTAACCTTACGTTCGAGTGCTCATAGGTTCCCTCGTGAGTTCGATCAAAGTTTCGCTCGTAAGATTCACTCGTAAAAGGTTCACTATTTATAAACCCCCTGTGATCTTGGAGGATCGACGAGCAAACGTCTCGGGGGGTCAAAGACTCCTCGCATTCAGCGTCTACACAGCTTACTACCACATGCTTACTGCGACGAGTATACGTCGAAACTTTCTCGAAGAAAAGACGAATTCTAATTCACCGTCGCGGCATTTACTTCGGAAAGTCGACAGACGCGTCCCGGTATTATTTCGGAAAGTCGATATCAATTGGTCTGCCGTTGACATATCGACCTGTTTACGTCTGAGTGAGTGACAAATTTGCATATTCTAACTCCTAAGAATAATCGTTTCTACGCTTCGCGTATCTACGACCAAAAATAAAGTGGATCAATGAATCAAAAGTACGCTTCTCTTTATTTTGTAGTTACTCAAAGGAAAATCTGTCCTTCTTGAGAGATTTTATTCTCACAAGTGGCGGTCGTGACCGAAGCGTTACATTGAATTTATTGATAGGTTCGTGACGGAAGTACAGAAACATGACAGGCGATTTGGGTTGATTGATTGTGAGATCGGAGTTACAAGTGAGTAGAAGAAAAAGAATAGAGTACTTCAAAGCCAGTGGAAAAATGCAGTGAGATCGTATCGTTAGTCTCCCACAATATTCCAACGCTTTGATATTATAAAATGATGCAATGAGAGTATTTCAATCTTTTATATCCAAAAAATTATTTCTATCTTTTACATCTATCTTTTGCTTCCATAAAATGGAAAGTAGTAAAGACAGTTGGCGTTTTTAAGAAATCAATTTTTCAAAGTGGTTTCGTACCGCTATATCCCGTACTACTAGCTCGACGTTTCTCAGTTCGTGCCTTGCGGAAGTCTCTGTTCAGGGCGCCACCCTGGCAATGTGAAAGAAGCGAATATTTATGCACACAAGGACCATGTGCATCGAACACAACAAAGAACCGGACATGTAATCTATTACTTCCACTGCGAAGAAGCATTTCATTGCTCCAGTTTTGACTTAAATTGCCTCATGTAGTAGCGTATGATCGCTGTCGTTAGAAAAAATTGAGATTTGAAGCTGATATATGGCAAAAACTAACAGTACAAGATTACAAGTATCTCTTACTTTATTGCAAAATAGATTATTGTAAAACGAACACAAAACCAATGGCGGGATAAACCAGACCATTGTCTGTGCGAAACTTCTTCACCACTCAAAGCCATCCTCTCATTTACCTCATACAAGGCATCACCCACCTTCAACTCAGCTTTACGGATGAAAATGCAGGGCTTAACATCAAGGCTAATGGCGTGCAACCCAGCCACTAACCTATCCAAGGGTGGATTGCAAATGGCTATGTGTGGAAAGCTTTGGGGGTGGGGGAGGGGGGTAGGTTATTGGACCTCTCGACAAAAATGGCATTTTTCTCTTAAGCTGGAAGGGGCTTGTCTTATTCATCTTGGTTGACAACTTGCAATCCAGGATTGGCAGTCAGGCTTGTACCCAGTCACACCTCAGCCACTGCGCTAACACTCCATCGCTGGAGGGTGGCTGAGTTTCAAAAGCATACCTTTGGGGGAGAGGATTCTATTGACTTTGCAAAAAATCGATAACTAGGTTTCCGCTTGAAGTGAGGCATGTGTCTTTTGATTATGATCAAGGTTTCTATTATGGAGGGGGGGAGGGGTGTGGTGACGGAAAAATAAAAGTCGGGAGTGCAGTTTTCACATCATTGCTACCATTGTCAGGAAACCAGGAATTTTCCAAAATAATCGATAGCCTTGAGATATATCTTCTTTTCCGACTCTAAAGAAAAATAAAACAAGAAATGGATTGAAGAAATTCTGATAGTTCAGAGAGTGACAGAGACAGAATGCATAAACAAATTGAAATATTTAATCGCTTCTTTGTCAACTTCATTTCGAGACTTTCTCAACGATATTCGCCTAGTCTCAGTGAGTAGAATAGAATTTTAGAAATCATTGCGAATTATCCCAAAATAAAAGAAGAAACATGGTAATTACAAGTTTAGGAAGACCTCGGGATTAACAAGACGGCTCTCGCTCTGGGTGTCCTTAAAACTTCGTCGCACAACTTTACAATACTTATTACCTTTTCATTTTTTTATGTTTACCACAAAAACATAGAACTTATCATGGGATGACATATTTCCCCTTTTTGACTGTCTCTATTTGGTTACTTTGCTCAATATGAATTCCCACGGAAATGAGTAATCAAAAAGGACATTGTAGGTCAGGTTCGAGATTCTAGGATAAATATAATTGCCACTT